CGCCGCCAGCGTTCAAAGTGGAACGCCGCCGTCGCCCTCGTCGACGTCGCCGTCGTCGTCGTCACCGTCGTCGCAGTCGTTGTCGCCGTCGTTGTCGTCGCCGTCGCGGTCGTCGTCGTCGTTGTTGTCGTCGTCGTCATCAACTTGGAACACCGCCAGCAAACCAGAATCAGTCGAAGTGGAACGATTTGTCTTTTCGAAGACCGCCGGTCGTTCAAGGCGGAAGGATCCCCGCTGTGTCAGAAACCAGCGCCGAAGTCGGCACGACACGAGCCTTCAGTACAGTCAACCCGCACAGTAAGGATGAGCAACTTTCCAAGGTAACCACTGCATCCTTGCCCCTTCGGCCCATCCGTGGCAACGTTCGCTGGCCAACCTCCTTCGAAACACGTTAAATTGGCCCGTCAAGGCCTACGCATGCTTACCGCGCATGCTTATTATGCGGGTTGACTATCTCTCTTTGCTCCCCCAAAGTCTCCAGGCCTCCTGGATGGGGTCCGAGTAGATGGGGTCGGAGGATCGCGCCGCATCGCCGATGCATCGACGATGCGGCTCGGTGTGGAGCCCGTATTCCCCCACGGCGACGTCACCGATGCATCGCCGACGTCGCCGATGCATCGTCGGTATATCGCCGATATATCGGCGATGCATCGGCGATGAGGCGCGATCCTTCGACCCCATCTACTCGGACCCCATCTAGGATTATGATGTTCTGGCCTACTTTAGCCTTGATCACCAGAAATAATTTCGAGCACCAGGAAGGTACCGAAACTGAAGGGTTTTCACGTGTCGGGCCCTGGGAGGCGATACTCGTTCGGCACTGCTTTGATTTTTTGTCTGGGTGCTCGAAATGATTTCTGCAATGTTGTCCTTACGTACGGTGAAGTCTGGCATGTCCCTCTACAGGAGGACTGTTCCAAAATAGTCAAAAATCAGTCAGGGGACGATTTTTGAACTATGTTTGAACATTATTTCGATCATTGTTCGACTATTTTTCATTTTCGTCCAAAGTCCCCCTGCAAAGTACGATAGGAGCCAACATCAATCCAACAGGCCTGGATGTGGTTGAACAGCTGCGTTTTGGTTGAACAGCTGCGTTGGCTGGACATCCGCGTCTTGTTGGTGGAGCAGCTGCGTTTTGTGGCGCGAGTTGTTTGTCCGCCACGGCCCCTGGTGAAGAGATTGGCGCCAGCTGTGGAACCATGTGGTCCGCTCCCCCCCCCCAAAAAGTCAATCCAGGAGGCCTCCCAAGACTGGGTGGGCCCAGCGTAATCAAGAAACAGCAGCAACAACCCTTACTCAACTGGGTTATATGTATATACATAAATAAAGTAACTAAAAAGTTTGTTTTTTTTTAATAATAATATATATATATATATATAAAAAAAAAAAAAAAAAAAAAAAAAAAAAAAAAAAAAAAAAAAACTGGGTGGGCTCGGGCCCGCGCGGCCCGCGGCGGCGGCGGCCCTGCCCCGCCGCCGCGCGAGGCCCCGGCCCCCGCCGCCGCCGGGCCCCGCCCGGCCGGGCGGCGGGCGCTCGCCGAGGACGGCGCGGGCGACGCCCCGCGCGCGCGCGGGGGGGAGGCGCGAAGAGCCGAGGCGAGGCGGGGAGTGCGAAGGCCTCACGTCGGTGTCGTTTTCACCGATCCCTATCTCCATCCTCCTCCTCGTCCTCCTTCTCCTCCTCACTCCTCACTCCTCCTCCTCCTCCTCCTCCTCCTCATCCTGCTCCTCCTCCTCCTCCTCCTCCTGCTCCTCCTTTTCCTCCTCCTCCTCCTCCTCCTCCTGCTCCTCCTCCTCCTCCATCCCCGTCCCCATGCCCTGGAATCTGCACGAGCGAGAGGGGCACGGAGCGAATGGGTATACGATGCCCAACAGCAGTTCCTGTTTGCATTCCGAGCCATCTCTGATCCGCAGCGCCAGGGCTTCGCCCAGGGTACTTTTCCTCCGGGGATCCCCAGGGGGCCGCCCCGCGCGCGCTAAGTAGAACTACTGTAGAGCAGTTACCCGGAGATCTTAGCACGCCTCGGGCTCGTTGGGCCGGCGAATTTGGAGTGCGTGCGCGGGCAGAGGAATTGCGGCACGAATTTCCCTGGTGGGCTTCCGGGGGCACGCTTCAGAGTAATTGTTCATAGCCCGCAGTGGTTCGACGGGGGGCAGAACACCTGCCACTCCAAGCGGGGAACGCCTCGGGGCGATGACAACGCCCAGAATGAATGAACAGTGGCAGGGGAAACATTATGTACGTGTGTCGTGGATTGTTTTGAAGAGACCGAAAGGCTAGAACAACTCGCGTGTCATGGGGTAGGGGCAGGAGAGACAGGGGCCAGAAGCATAGGTGGGCAAACCCCAAGACCAAGGCGAAGACGATCGCAAAACGAAGGGTGTGCCCCCCCCCCCCCAAGAAAAATTCAGGAGAGGAAAAACACACAGACACAATTGATCGTCGATTCCCCAGAAAATATGGGAAAATATGGGAAGTGGGGGGGAAGACGACAACCCCCCAAAAAGATAGGCAAATATAGGGGCATATGTTTATTTGTATGTATTCATTTCTGTGTCCTGGGGCCCCTTCAAAATTCTCCTGAGGGCTGCCCTGTCTGCAACTGGAGACGCGCCTGCCCTGGGCCCCGGATGGGCCTCGCACCGGGACCCGCGGAGGCGCATAGCCGGCGCCCTCCATCAGGGGCAACGATAGGGGGGGAATGCAGGAGGAGGAGGAGGAGGAGGAGGAGGAGGAGGAGGAGGAGGAGTAGGGCGCGGAGGAGGAGGAGGGGGAGAAGGAGGTGGAGGAGGAGGAGGAGGAGGAGGGGGACGAGGAGGAGGAGGAGGAGGAGGGGGAGGAAGAAGGATGAGGAGGAGAAAGAGGGGGATGAGGGGGGCGGATAGGCTTATGGGGGGATGTATCGACCCCCAATCGCCCATTGATCGCTGATAGGGGCTCGATAGCCCCAACCTACCCAGGAAGGTGCGGACTCACAATCGGGGGCCTATCGCCGATCTATCGGCGATGTATCGCCGATTCCAGGTCGATGTTTCTCCCCCTATGCCTATCCCCCTCTATCGTTGCCCCTCACTCCTGGGGGAGGAGGTGCGGCCTCCAGGCACTTCTCTCTCGCAGGGTGGCGCTTGCACCGGGCAGTGCCGGGCCCCTTTGGGGCACGAAGGGTGCACCCCGGGGGACACCTTTCGTGCCCGAAAGGTGTGCCCGGGGAAGACCTTCAGGCGATCGCAAACATGGATCAAGGGGGCGTGGATTGGCGACGGCTCCCGTCTACATCGGGAATCGCGGATTTCCGCCGCCGAGCGAGGCGGCACTTGCCGCACTTTTTGGGAGGGCATTTCCCCCGATCTAATTATGGATTTGGCGACCGCGTGCCAAGGCCATTCATCGCTAATCCATGCTTGCGCGCCCCCGAGAGGATCGAGGATCGAGTTCGACGAGGGCCGACGGTCTGTCGGTGAGGCTCTGCTGAGGGGCGAGGATCGAGGCTCGAGGATCTGTGGATGAGCGGGGACCTGCTGATGCGGGAGGGTCGTCGGCTCGAGGGCCGTCGGCTTGAGGGCCGCGCGCCGAAGCCATGCCTGCGCGCCCCGGAGAAGTCAGGCCGGCGCCTCGAGGTCTGCACGCCAGTCCACCAACGGGCGAAGAACGGTATGACATATTCTTGTTTCGCCATCGGGGGCGCCTGCCCCAGGGCGGCTGGAAAGCTTATACCCCTACGGTGCCACCGTAAGGGTGTAAACTTTCCAGCCGCCCTGCGGCAGGCGCCCCCGGCAGCGAAAAAGTGTACTGGAGAGGCCTGACGGCCTGTGCCGCCGACCCTGATCGAAAGGGCTAGGAGTGGGGGGAGGAAGCGGAGGATGAGGAGGAGGAGGAGGAGGAGGAGGAGGAGGAGGAGGAGGAGGAGGAGGAGGAGAGGAGGAGGAGGATGAAGAGGAGGAGAAGGAGGAGGAGAGCAGGAGGAGCAGGAGGAGGAGGAGGAGGAGGAGGAGGAGGGAGCGCCCCCGACGGCGACAAAGTTGATTTTGTACCGTTCTTCGCCCGTTAGGTCCAGGGCCCAGGTAGTGGGCGTGCCCGGGCCTCGCGGCGGCGTGCCGTCGGCGCCCCTTCCGAGGGGGGGTCGAGCGGAGGGTTTCTCCGAAAGGGCTCAGGCGACCCGTCCTCCTCCTCCTGCTCCTCCTCTTCCTCCTGCTCCTCCTCCTCCTCCTCCTCCTCCTCCTCGTCCTCCTCCTCCTCCTCCTCCTCCTCCTCCTCCTCGTCGTCGTCCTCCTCCTGCTCCTCCCGCTCCCCCTCCTCCTCCTCCTGCAGGAGCAACTTTGGCCCAGGTCCGCACGTTAGCTCCCACAGGCGCGTCCGCCCATCGAGCCCCGTGTGAGCATGCAGCACAGGGCTTGCAGCGGGGCTGGGCCAGCTCGGGACGCGGAGCCTGCATGGACACACTCTTTTTTGTTTTCTTTCTGATACCGAAGGTGATCTACCACAACGTGCAGAGCGCGGATTTCGCCAGATTGGAGGAGATTTCTGAGAATGCGAGCACCAACGACATTGCCATATCGATCGGCACGGGAAAAGCAGCAAACAGAGACGGGGACATCACACAATGTCAATCACCACGACACCAAACGATACAGTTCGGATGGCGCAAGGGCACAGCAGTCAAACGCAGCTGTGGACTCGCAGTGCTGTGCGGCGAGGGGTTTTATGGAACTGTCACGGGCATCGAATCGCCTCCTCGTCAACCCAGGCATCACAGGAAGGGTTGGATGTGTCAAATTTCATCTAGGAAATATGAACATGGCTGTGATTGCGATTTAATTGCCGACAAAAAGGAACCACGGTGAGCATATTATCTTGGACATATGGAACTGGACCGCATGGGAAGCAACGGTTTACCATTGACTTTGGGAGGCTCCAACTGCGCGTTCGGCCTTCTCATGGACATGGCTGGACGCAAATACGTTAATATTAGCGAACGAAGAGATTGGTTCTGCAGAGCCTGACCATGAGAATCGAGTATCACAAATGATCAGAGAATGCCTTGCAGATAAGCATCGCGCAGTCGCCGACATGTTCTGGACTGCTGGGGCGACATGTTACCAACATCTGCATACGAGCAAGACCGACCACATCATCATGTTGCAGGCCGCGCTGCCTACAGCAAGCAGGATCTGCACACCACGTAGTCTCGCGCGGCGGCTCCAACGGAACGCACTCACACACCTGAATGATAATGTGCTTGTGTCGGTGGAAATGAATGTTGGGATCAGTTGGGCGCGCCAAGCTGCAGCATACTCGAGAATTCCGTTGGCAGGGTTTTCTTGAAAAGATTTGGAGGATGAGGTCAAAGAGATGCACAATCATAATGCTATAAGGTTCCCACATGCGTACGCGAAGCCATGCAGGAACTGCGTCCTAAACGGCAGTGCGTATTGATCGACTACGACCGTTTGCGTGACCAGGGGATGAAACTGATACGAAAACGACATAGTCGACGCGGACGACTACATCTTATTTGGTGCAAAAGTTTTGAGAGCAACGGGCCGAGCGAGCTCGGCAAGAGAAACGGAGCTGAACATTACCATAGGACGCATGGAAGTGCTTCGATGACAACAAATGGATGAGAAAACGATCACCCTCGCCGACGAGATTTGCAAGGCCTCGTTTTGTCGAGGATTGGACGGGGACCCTGCAAACGATTTCTACCTACGCCTGGACTACAGACGAACACCGCATAATGGGAAGCGGACATGGCTTGTGAACCGCAGGACGGCGGGATGCGATGTACGAGGTTGAGTAGGACAGAATAGATATACGATCGCAGTTTCACGTCACACATTCATCACAGCCCAGACCTTATTGAAAAAGTGCGCAGTGATAAAATGGGGCAGATAGGAGACTTACGGCGAGCACCTAAACGACACGCGGGGCGTGCATGGGGAGTCCTGGTGGAGGCCCACAGCATGAGCACAGACTACCAGATGTATCGGCCCTCGCGGACACGTACGTACACGCCAGATGTGTTCTCGGGACGATACAACGACGTGCTGGCCCTCATCAGGAGCGAGCAGATCAACACAGAGCAGCACGAGCGGCACGGCAAGAACAGCGAGCACAGCACGAACATCGACGAACGGATATGCACACACGAACTAGTTGATGGCACACATTGTTACAGCCTGTGGGACTTCTTCCCGGTAGAGAACGGGAACCATGCAGCGAACAAAGCGGGCGACAACGCAGGCATTAAGTACGCGGAGAAGAACCAGAACGGAGCAAGAAGACCTCGGCAGTCCCAATTTCCACGTGGCGGCCGGCTTCTTGACGGCTCTGGGCAAGATGGATATTTTGCCGCAGACTATTCAACCGCCAATGGTGCACCCGAGTTACATCGTGGACGAGTTGGAATATTGTCATCTGGCGGACCTCTCGAGGAACCCCCGCAACAAGAAGGCCTACGCGGAGAACGGACACCCTGTGAAATGGAAGATCCACATCATGCCGAACCCGCTCGGAGCGAACTTCTACGACGAGAAGATGGAAACCGCTGTCAACACGAATCGAGAGGGCAACAACCTGCAGCCGAACAAGCTCGAGAACCTCTCGATCGCAGGGTTCAGCATGCTGATCTGTCAGGCGATGCGAGCGACGGGCGGAGAGGTCACCGTCGGCTCACAAATGCCGTCGGCGCTGGAGCAGCAGTTGCAGAAGCACCTCAGGCAGCGCAAGGCCACGGGATAGACCTGGTGGGGCTACGACGCCTCGCAGAAGGGGCATTGAACAAGTAGCTGTAAGAGCAATAATATCATTATTTGTTTTCTTCACCAGTAGAGCAGTAGAGCAAGCATACAGATTCCTGTGTTGGGAGGGGGAGTGAGGGGACGGGGAACAAGTGTCTGCAGCGCAACGAATTGAGCACGTAGAGGGTCTCAGGAAATAACTCTGGAGCCTCCCCGAGCGCGGGGGGATGCGCCACAGAGCGACGACCCCCACCCCGTCCATGGAAAATCACCTTTGAGGGATCGGCCCAGTGCCGAAGCGGGCCCGGTAGGCTCCGTCGGCCACGGGGTCCCGCAGGCTTCCCTCTGTAAAGCCGCATGAGACAGCCAGCAGCAACACGCTCGAAGCGAAGTCGAGCAGTGATTGTTTCAGCCGAGACAACGCACGATGACCTGCCGAGGCTTCCTCCTCCTCCTCCCCCTCCTCCTCCTCCTCCTCCTCCCCCTCCTGTTCCTCCTCCTCCTCCTTCTCCTCCTCCTCCTCCTCGGGTTGCCTGCTGCCCCGGGGGAAGCCGTGCAGGCGGGCACTCGGAGATCCCCCGTGGCCACCGCCAGGAGATCGAGCGCGTCGTCGGCGCAGCCAGCGGCCCCGCAGCGCCCGGGGGGGCACGGGGGAGGAGCGGGAGCCAGGGCGGCACCGTCGGGGCAGGGCCGGGCGTTGCGCAGCGGGGGGGGGCGCAAGAATTAGTATACTATGCGTGGGCGAATGGCTTCGGCTTGG